ATATAATCAGCATTTTATAGCATCAAGAACTATCTGGCTAGGAGGTAATAAGACCAGTTAGAAATTTCAATAGCTGTTAGAGATGATTCTGACAAGAAATAAAGTGATAGCAGTAGAATTACAGGAGAGATAAAATCAAGTAAATTGTGTACATGCTTGACTCCATAGGACTTTGACTCATTGGTGTTTAAGGAGAAAGTGTGTTTTAAGGAAGTTGTTATGCTTCTATTTTTAGATGACTGGGTGATGATAATACATCTCAAAAGAGAAGAAATACCAAAGGAGATTGAAAGTTGGTGGGGAAGACAGTAAGTTAATTTTTTAAATATGTTTGAAGTACATAATAGGATATGCCAAAATTTGGGTCAGTAAAGCTGGTAAAAAGGTTGGGCTAGAAATATATATATGAGAGTCATCAGCCTGTAGACGGCAGTTGAAATTGGAGAAATGGATGAGACTGCTGTATTTAGAATGAGGCATGAGCCATGACCAAGTGCAGATAAATGAACCATATGGAACCTCAATGTTTTAAGAGTTAGGTGGGGAAATTTGGGGTGTGTGTGTGTGAATATTAGACCAGAGTGGAAAGGAGCTAGGTGGAGTAAGAAGATAATGTTCAGAAAGTTGAACCATAAAAGGGGCAGAGAATAGTAGTTAAATAGAATGAGTCAAAGGAGGTGTGTGTGTGCATACATGTGTGTGTGTGTGTGTGTGTGTGTGTTTTGTTTTGAGTAGGACAGGCTTTGTGTGCTTCCAGGGAAGAATCTGCAAAGAGGGAGAGGTAGAAAACTCATGAAGGAACAAGTGACTGAAGGGGCAGAGTACAGAGTAGCTTGGGTTTACTTTACATGGCCCAAGTCCCCCTCCTTCTTCATCCACAATCCTCAAATAGTAGGGCAATGCTCCAGAAGTCCAAAAAACTCTTAACACCAAGTTTCAGTCCCTGAACAGGACAACATTAATTAAGCTTTCCAACTCCAACATGTTTTAACCCAGTGTCCATTTGTCTCATAGGAAATAGATCCTAATGAAGATGCAATATGCAGTCAGTATGAAGGAAGAAGATGAGGAAGGACTTGGTTTGACTAGCCAAGAACACCTGCTGGTAAGGCTATGTACCTAAGTTTGAAACTTTTATTGGAGAACCTACAGCCACATCAATTCCCTGTTCTGTCATCAAAACTTGCCCCCCACCACCTCATCTCCCCACAGTGGTCATGCTCTCTCCTTACCACATCCTCTGAGTTATACAGAACAGAGGAGGACAGACCTTACTAGTCTAGATTCTAATTTAAGATTCTTCTGATAGTGACTGTTCCTTCATGATACAGAGGATTTTCTTTCAAGAGAAAAAAAAATTTTAGATGCCCATTTATTCTCAGACAGAAGGTGAGGATCTGTAACTATTGTTCTAAAGTAAAAATGAGTTCAATAGTCATTTTAAGTGGGAATTTCTTAAAGGATGTAGCAAAGTTGGGAACATCCTTCAGTGCAATTTTCATCTTTCTCCTCAGAAAACCGAAGGACTCATTAACCGATTATCCCTTCCACCTAGTAATGATAAGGAACCAAAATTTTGAAATGATTTCTTAAGAACTTACAGCTCTGTGAGATGTCTTAAAGGCTTTTATTCTCAGAGTTGTTTCACTTTTACCTACTATATATTGGTGAATCATAAACATTTATTCTTACACAGCATGCTCCTCTGATTTAAATTAAAAAAAGATTTTGAAAAGCACTTATCTGAATAAGAAATACAAAGTATTATATTTAACTTAGAGTAAGTAAAAATATTTCTAATAGGTAATCCATTTTTATTTCAGAATTATTGGAATAAATATTAGAATGCAAGCATTAGAATGCAGGATCAGATTCTGGACATCTGGGTGGAGTCTTGTAATTCATTTTTCCAAGCAGTTCAATTTTGTCTCTTTCTTTAAAAATACTCCACCCTATAACTTAGGTTATTTTTTTCCAGCTTAGCATCCTTTCGGTGGCTCCTTTTGAGTCTAAGGTGTATATTGAGTCCCAAACTTAAGTTGGTAAAATGTGTAATATCATTTGCTGTACCAGACCCTTCTCTGAACTAGGCACCATGCTAAGCACCAGGAGATAATGATAAGTCTGAAAACTTCCGAGCGTCGCAGTTTAGTAGGATAGAGTCATGTCAGTCTGTGATTCTGCATTTACCCCTATCCTTTAGCTGTAACGCAGAGAGGGACTTTACTCAAAAGGGGCTGGGTGAGTTGAGGGGGAAAGGTGGAGGCTGATGCAATCTGACTGACTAGCATTGATTGAGCCTCTGCTCCAAGCCAGACACAGGGCAAGGCTCTGGGTAGACCAATAGCAACCCAAGCACATCCTGCTGTTGTCCTCTGAACCTTGCTGGCTAACTGGAGAAATAAAGTTAAATAACTAAAATCCTAAATATATTACTCATTACATTATCTGAATTACACATTCAAGTGAATTCTGTGAAGGCAACGAGTGAGAGAGTAACAGAAGCAAACCCTCTTAGGGTGACTCCCAGAAACTGGCATTTAAACTTAAAGTGATACAGGTGCTGATGAGAGCTACAATGGCAATAGCATTACAATATGTAAGTGTATCAATGAACATCTTGTACACCTTACAGCTGCACAACGTTACATGTCAAATACACTTCAATTAAAAAAAAGTTTAAAAAATGAGTCACATGAGTCAAGAGGGAGGGAAAGAGTGTTTTTGAAAGCCATCCCTGAATCTGATCAAACCAATGTATAATAAATGCAGAAGATAGAAGAATTGGTTAAATGGAGGAACAAATTAAACTGGCAAGATCTAGATTGCAAGCTACAGGAAACTCACACAATTCTTAAGACAATAACATGAACAACAAAAATCATTAGGAAAACAAAAGATGGGGGAGAATTTCAGAGTGAAGATCATTTTTTTTGTTTTTAATTCAGCAAGCATTTATTGAATATCTTTCCAATGTGTTCTGGGTGTGTTCAAAGAAGTAAAATGCATAGCCTACTTTTGAGGAGCTGGTAAATTTGGAGGGGCTCTACTTTCTCCATAGTTTCTTAATTCATTAAGAACTCTGTTTTGATTCAGTATGATCCAAAGAGGTTTTTGCAGGAAACACTATTTGTAGTGCTAGATTGAAGATAATTTAAGGCACATATTGAATAATCACAATTTGTAGACATAATTGAAAGAGTGTTTGAAAAAGAGAGAAAACATGAGAATTGGATATTTAAATACTGCTGGATATTTGGATTGAATTGTTTGATAATATGAAATAATTACTTAAAATTATTTTTAGATATGAAGAAGATATTGTAATTACAGTTAGAAAAATTCCTCTTTTTTTTCTGAATTTATAAATGAAATTATATGAGACCTAGTATTTCCTTCTAAATACCCCAGATAAGGGGGAATCAGTGATTTAGATAGAAAGCAGATTGGCTGTGAGTCAATAGGTATTGAAGCTGGCTGCTAGATATGTGAAGGATGGATATGTGTTTTTTCACATGTTTGAACTTTCCCATAATACAATATTTTTAAAAAGCAGTGGAAAAACCCAAGAAAACAAATAAGATTATTATATTGTAATAAATGCTAAGAAGAAAAGTAAGTTACTACTGAAATGCTCTTCCCACTTGAAGTTCTGTCATAGCCTAAGGCCTGGTATCAGTTCAGGATCCTAGGTCAGCTTGCCTGTAAATCATCCAGAGAAAGCTGTGTGTGTGTGTGTGGTGGGGGGGGGGCCACACCCAAGTAGGTAGATGGAGTGCTTTCTTGGCTGAATTCCCATGGGGGAGTTCAGTTTCTATCAAGAAAGGGAAGGAAGAGTCAGGATTCCAACTATTGTCTGCCTAATTCAAGACCATTTGGTCACACCCTGATCTAGCTGAGGCCTCTAGACTTTAGGTGGTGCATAAGAATTACCCTGAGGGCTTGTTGAAGCTGATTCCTGGGTCCTTCCCTCTAAGATCAGATTCTGGAGGTCTGGGTGGATTCTTGTAATTTATTTGTCCAAGTAGTTCAGTAAACTGGAGCTGTACCCTTGCCGACCTCCTTTTGAATATAGAATATGCTAAATTAAACTGACCTGGTCTCCCCGGGTCCTGGGACGGATGGACCAGACCATTTTCCTAGGGGCAGAGAGGCCCTCGTGAGACCAATTGGTGCTAGTGTTGCCATATTGTTTGTATTTTCCTTTAGTAGCTCTGGCTTCTTGGAGTGACTTACTTACGAAAAAGTGTGTCTTCTCAGGCATTTTATCTTGTCACATCCTGCCTGCAACATTATGCTCCAGTAATTCTCAGTGCTTACAGTTCCCTCTCCTGTATTCAGTAGCCCATCACTTGCCTTGGTGTTTTGACTCTTGCTGCTCCTGTTGTGAACAGCAAAACCCTTCCTTTCTACCCAGCTCACCCATATTGCAGGCTTAGTATTTGTGTTAGGAACTAGGTCTAAGAATAATTATATTATCCAACCCTGATAATTTAAATGTGATCTCCCAGTAAGTGACACATCCACGGACATAAATTAATTATAAAATATCTCTGAATCTTTTTTTCTATTCCCTCCATAATACTATTCAATCCATCACCAATATTGTCCTAGAATTATTTAAAAGTATTCATTTATTCAATTGTAACTCGTCAGCGAGTCTGTCACTTCCAGTTTTCTCCCAAGCCTTACCTTAAAAAAATAAAGACAAAAATCTCAATAAAAAATATATATATATGTTAGGAATGATGTTAACTGCCCAATAATTCAACCCTCATCTAATAAACAAGATGGCATAAAACTGAGGATGTTATCACAGTGTCAGAAAAAAAGGGAGGGGAAAAAAGAGGAGGAAGGAAAACAGCTCTTCTGGGAAGGAGAAGGAGACATTTGCTTATAAAAGGAGAAATCAGGCTAGAGCCCCTCAGGTTAAAAGGAGTGAACTGCAGGTATCTTTAACATTGCAGGCTGGCTTCGGTTTCCTCTGGGTGTTCCTGGAAATGGCATACTCAAACTGTGAAAGCAGCGAGAAGGTAAGTTTAGTTTGAATACAATTATTAATTTCCCACAGGTTCATTTTTCAAAGTCTTTCTAGAGCTTGTTTATATTTCTTTCTTGTCACAAATCTTAATTTCTGGATGTTAAGAAATCTCTATCTTGGAATCTCCTCTTTGCAAGCAGATATTACTTTCCTTTGATGTGACGGTGGTTCAGTGTAAGAGCAAAAAGGAGAAAGGAAGATTCCTGTTCCTAGTCCAAAGTAAGAGATTTATTGCATCCAGACATGTTGTTGTGGAGCAAGATAATAATGGTGAAGAGATAAGGAGATAAGGTCAAGAGAAAGTGGGAAAGGGTAATGTGGATGAGCTCAGAGAGTGAAGTCACCAATTAATTGGTTTCTTTCCTCTGGGAGTAAGAAGTAACCTATTCCCAATGGCTTTACTACCAAATGAGTTTCAGACTAGGTTTGGGTAATCCTGGACTGGAGGAGAAAATAAATTGATGAGGTTTCATAGGTGTTTGCAGGGAACGCTGTACCAGGCCAGGCTAGAGGGCTGAACCGACTAATATTAAGTATGTGATCATGGGAAAGTCATGGAGTTGCTTTGACATCCCCCCTTCCCCCCTACTGATCTCTACAGAGGAGTAATAGTTCCCAGAGTCAGTTTTTTTTTTTTTTAAACTGACCCTTGAATGTGTGTGGCAGTGTTTTCAAAAAGTATACAAATGCAAAATTCCTAAATGGGAGCTAGGAATGTGAGAGCCCTGGAAAGCCACTTCAGAGATTTTAATAGGAGAAAGGGCCCGGCAACCTCAGGCTCCCTTGGCTGTTCTGAGGAATACTTAAAGGTGGTGGAGTTTATTCACATTTAGATATGAGAAGAAAAGCTAAATTCAGAAACTTAAGCTTGTGTTACTCTATGGCATCAATCATTTAATTTCTGTGACTCAGCTGCCTAATCTGTAAAATAGGAAATCTACTTAAAATATTATATGAGTATTAAATGAGAGAAATATAGAAAACCCCTAGCACAGTGTATGTACTGTACAAACCCAGTAATTAGCTCTTTCCTTCTTATCTCCTTTCTCTTTCATTAATGGGATCATTAAAGGAACATGAACTGCCTATTCTGAGCTGAGAACTGTGTTGCTGTGATTGCAATGGAAAGTAAAGCATATAGATTTGCCCCCCTCAGGTCATGGGGCTGAAACGAGGCCAGAATGGTTGGAGCTCAGAAAACTAAGAAGTTTTAAGCTGGAGTGACAGGCAGGAACAGACTGTTCAGGAAATTGTAGGTCACGCGAGGGAGTTTTGTCCTTAACCTAAATAGTAAAGAAAAGTCCTTGAAGTATTTTAAAAAGCAGGAGAGCAATCTGCAAACAGACTGGTGTTAGAATGGGTTTGGGAATAATAGGAGATGGTTGCATTTGCCAGTGAGGGTTGATGATTGCTTGAATAAAGAATCATGATAGTAGATGGGAAGGCAAGAGCACATTCTCTATAGAGTTAGGAGATAAAAATGAAAGTATTTGGTGTTTTAGCTGATGAAGAGGAAGACCATGAGAGAAATGGCTTCCCCAAACCCACAGCCTACCCTTCCATTTCCTCTTTATCACCCACCTGTAAATCTGCTTTTGCTCATTTCATTGGTTGTTTCTTTTATCTAATAAAAGTTCCGTTAATCAACATCAAATTCCGGGAATCATCAAGTCTTATCTCCGTCCACCTATTGTTTTGTTTTCATTAGTTGCACTTTGAGACTGAGCAGGTTCATTGGATGGCATCGAATACAAATCAGTGACTGACCCTTTCTTTCCCAGACTTTCTCTGAGGAGAAATTAGATGAAGAAAATGTGTTTCTCACATTGGTTCCAGTTAATGAGGAAGCTAATGAACATCAAATGGAACCAAGTGTTTCTTCAACCTCAGAGATGGACATAAAGATGCCTGTGACCAACAGTAAAGGTATAAGAGGGTAGGGCTTGCTCGGTTTGCTGGACCTCCAGGGAAGCCCAGGAAAAAGATTTCTCTTCCCTGTCCTTAGACCATACAACCCCCAGCTTAAATCTCATCTTGGTTCCCAATGATAAAGGATTTCTCAGACTTTCATACTTTTCATTTGCTAAGCACTAGGAACTACTCTCTTGCTTTTAACACACAAAAACAGGCCTGCCGAGTGCTTTGGACTGAGCATAGTCTTACTGGGGCAGCTAGATGTGAATTCAAAATTCCCAACCCATGGAGCTCAGTTTTCTCTTCATTTTGGTTAATACAAGCCTTATAAGTGTTATGAAGACTAAATTATTTTCCCCAGCTTTATTGAGATATAATTTACACATAACATTGTGTGATTTAAAGTGTACATGTGATTATTGATATATATATATATTTCACTAATTTTTATATATACATATGCATAAAATAGTGAAATAATTACCAAAATAAAGTGAACTGACACATCTAACCTCACAGATCCCCCATCCACCCCCCGCCATGGGAATTTTTATGATTTACTGTCTTAGCAACTTTCAGACATACAACATAGTATTGTTAACCAGTCACTATACCACATGTCACATCCCCAGAACTTACCCTAAAACTGAAGATTTGTATCCTTTGATCAGCACCTCCCCTTTTCCTCCCCCCTTCAGCAAATACCAATTTACTGTTTTTCTGAGTTCAGCTTTTTTTAGATTCCACATAAGATCCTGTAATATATTGAAAGACTAAATAATTTTGAAAAACAGCTAGTGTTTTTGCTCTGTGAGTCATTACTGATCAAATATTTAGCAGCTCTTAATATCATGTCCTTTAGTATATGTTCTCAGTGCATAAAGGCATCTGATATGTATTTTTAGATTGATTCTGTTTTTCTGGGCCAATATAGAGGACTTAAAGATGAAGTTAGACAGTGACAGGTTGGAACTAGCAGAGTGTGATGAGACAGGTGCTGTAGAGAAAAATTAGGTGGGCTGACAGAAAGGAGAACCACTGTTGGTTAGGGTACTTCCTTTGATTTCTGTAGGAACAGCTGATAACATGTGGTCCAAAATCTAGGTGTTTTGGAGGAACAGTCCACCACAATGTCCTAACCAGGTGGTTGCTTATGGTCACAAAAAACAAAAGGTTGCTCTGTGTAGTAAAAAGCATGCAATTTAGAATTTGAAAATTGTTGAGTTTGAGGTTTGAGTACCAGGTTTGCTCTTTTAATGGAGGTGTGATCTTGGTCAAGTCCTTTAATTTCAGAGTCTATTACCTTATTTGTAATATGAGGAAAAATATGTGATAATGTATATGTGCAAATTGGGTTATAAGAAATAAGTGAGAGCTTCATGAAATTAACAATGAATCTTATAAGCATTAAATTATTATTTGGTGCCCTTTTTTCTCAGTACATCTTCCTCAAACACATGAACAGTTCCAGAGCTGCCCAAAACCTAGTCCTACGAAACCACCCCTTCCCTTGCCAACCGTTTTGCCTCCAATCAGGAAAGTGAGGTGGGACACTTTGCAGAACTGGTGCCGACAATGCAGTTTGAGCACCGCTGGCCGGGTGAGTACCCTGATGGGACACTTGGCTGCTCAGAGCAAGGATGGGAAGTTTTGTCAGCTTGTAACTTTTACTTCCTTTCTCAATCTCCTTAGAAAATGGAGGTTTATCTGAGGCTCCAGAAACATGCTTACTCTGAAAAAAAACAGGTGAGTGAGGAATGTGGTGACTGAACGCAAGTTCTGATGGTAAATTGTTCCTGTTCTCCCACCATCTTTATATACGTTGTACCTCAAAGGCAAAGTTTCTCAACCAAGACTATTGACCTTTGTGTCAAGTAATTTCCTTTGGAGGTTGACCTTTGCATTTAGGGTGCTTATCAGCCTAAATGTCCCTGGCCTCTACCCACTAGGAATCAGGAGCTACACCCCTCCCCTCACCACACTAATTTTAACAATAACAAATTTCTCCCGTTTGAGAACCACTGCTCAAAAGGAACTAACATTCCTTAAACCCTTCTCACACATTCATGGGTTGATGTATAAAGAATGATAAAGATGACACAAAAATCCTTAAGGCAATAGCACTTCACTGAATACTCATTATGATTGCCGTTTGCAGAATATTCCTGAAAGCACACAGGAGTACGGATCTGAGTCATATACAAGGAAATTCAGAACGGCGGCCAGAGCAGGGACTCGGAAACATAAGATTAAGAGAGAGGAAGGGACTCACATCGTCGAAGTGGTAACTTCAGCTCAGGAAGCCTTGCTGGCAGCATGGGCAAGAATTGCTGCAAAAGCCATTCAACCTAAGTCTGCAAATTCACGTTCCATTCCTGCTTCCGCTGAGACCTTTCTGGTGGAAGCCTCTGGTAAGAGGATTTTGAAAGAGTACAATTCTAGGGAAAAAAAGGTTAATGTATTAGTCTATACTGAAAGGTTGTAAAAGGGAAAGAGTTAAAATATCTATAGATTGAATATCAGGTTCAAATAGAGCTTGTCTTTGATTGATAGACAGCTAAATTTTGCCTGGATAGAGATTGATTGGTGACCATTTCTCATCACAAAGCAGAAATCCAAGGTAGAAAGAAAGTATAATCTGATAATAATGGTCAGCCACAGCCTGAGATCTTCTCTTTTGTCTCTCTCCTCAGTCCATTAGTATGAGTTTTAGAATTGAACAGCCTTGGTTCAGATTTTTGTCTTAACTGATTTCCTAGGTGTGAGGCATTGACAAGTTACTTAGTTTAAGCCCTGGTATCCTGATCTATAAAATGGAGATTACAACTATTCTATGTTGTAGAATGATCTGACAGTTATGAGATACAACTTAGCATGTTATAAACCTAGGCGGTAATAATGAAAACTTTTGGGGTTCCTATCCTCTTAGAAACCTAGAGAATAACTCAGCCCCACCTTTCTCCTATTCTTTCTCCTTAATATTTTTGTTTTCATCTCCAGCACAGAGTTACCCTCCCCTTTTTTGACTTCTTTTGAATGAATTCTTTTTCTCTCTCCACCCCATTGCCAGGACTGTTCTGGACATACTTTAATTCAGTGCTGTCCTGTATGGTAAGGCCTGGTGTTCACTACACAAGGAACCCAGCCAAACAGTGAACTTGGCTTACTCTCTGCTCCCCAAGGTGCACTCCCTTTCGTGAGGAAGAATGGGCACCTTTTGCTAATAGGCAAAAGTACTGTCCAGTCTCAAAGCTCGCTCTTCTTCATTGAGCAGTTATTAGGCACCTACTGTGATCCAGGGTGTGCCTAGTCACCCAGGTATACTGTGCTGAACATACATCATTTCCACTCTTGTTTTTAGTCTAACTGGGGAGATTTTAAAGATACTGAAACCCACAGTGACTGTTCCTTTCCCTTATTTTCAGACAACTGATATCTGTAAGATTTACTGTGTTTCTCTCAAAAATCCCATCTCCCCAATTAGATTATTCCTTAGACTTTGCAAGATCCTTTTGTCTGTTTTCTATAGTTGCAGAAGAATGTGGTTAGGGAAATAGTCTCTGATCAGAATGTGTGAATCCATGTCCTAGTTCTGGGGAAATTATAGTTAACACCTTAGGCTTCCATTATTACCTTACCTGTAAATAAGAAAAGTAAATAGAGGTGAATATTAACAGTGTTTTTAATTAAGAGTACATACATTAATACATGTAAACCTCTTAGCAAAATCCTGGACACAAAGCAAACATTCCAAAATGTTCATTGTTGTTATATAGTATCTTTCAGTCTAATTGATTCATGCTTCTCATTCAGTAGATTCATTAACAGAATATAGGGCAAAATCAAGGGACTTAGTGAGAGGTTGGACTGGGGTGCAGTTACTTGATCTTACCTGTTTACATTTGTTTCTCTTTCCCTCCCTAGGTGTCAGGTGGTGTGTGGTCCACGGCAGACCTCTCTTAGCAAAAAAAAAGGGTTGGGTGCGCCTGCAGTTCCATGCAGGTCAGACCTGGGTGCCTGACACTCCCAAGAAGATGATCTCTCTCTTCCTGTTACCGGCCTGCACTTTCCCATCCCCAGACATGGAAGATAATATGTTATGCCCTGAATGTGTCAAGAGGTAGATTTCATGTATCTTCCTAGGAATGGCATACAGAAAGGGAGATGTCTAATGGGTTCTTGAATAATTTAGTAGCAGAAGGCAGAGGGCAAACATGCTGTAATTTGCCATATAGATCAGTTTAAAATAGGAAGCAAAAGAATTTAGTAGTGGATTAGAACTCAAAAAAACCATAGTTTCTTCTTAGCAACCTTAAAGTACCTGATAAATTCTAATCTTAACTGCCTCTATTTTAGGGACCAGTTATAAGGAAAACAACGAAACATTAGAGTTCTTACTACTTGTCAGATAGTTAGTTGGGGATAAAAAAATTAGACAAAATCCATTAGCATGCTGGAATGAAAATGAAACACATGGGTAGAACCTAAATAGGAGTAGATTAAGGGAATTTACCTCTACTGAGGAAGAGCATATCAGCTGGAAAGTAATTTGGGCATTTTGGTAGTGGAAACAGCCCAGACAAAACATGCGAATGAAAGAATATGACATTCTTACAAATTATGAATAGGTCAGTATGATTGAAACTTACACTGACAAATAAATCTGGGAGATGGAGGAACAAATACTGAAGATTTGGTATCTGTATTAATGGTCTCATATGTTACCATATAGGTTATAATGTCTCGGTCACTTCCGCGACACATACTTTGATGACTACATACCCTCCACCCACAATAATACATACATTGGGTGTGCACTGCACAGAAGACCGCTTTAGATTTCATATAGACCTTAGAACTAGTGTTTATCCAGGAGTACGAAATCCAGCCTTTGGTGATGGAATTGGGTGGAGGTGAGATGGGTGTGGAGAGATTCTCTTGAGGTTTTTTTTAGGAAGTAGATTGAAATCTTATAATAGATACTATATTGGTGAGCAAGTAAGAGATTGCTATAATTCTGGAAAGATAATTTATGACCCTGGCAAAGAATTTAAAGAGGAATGGGACAAGTTTAAGAGCTATAAGAGTAAAAGGAACATGATGCTGTCTTGTTAGATGGAGGAATGGTAGAAGTCCCATTGATTGGTGAAGAGTATGGTATGTGTACATGCTTGACATGGGTCTAGAGTTCTGAGAGTATAGATTAGAGAGAAACATCTTTAGGAATCATTGTCATATACATTTTACATACAGTATAGAGGAATTAGAGCGAGCTGAGAAAACCCCTACAGAGAAGCAGTATGTCATGGAAGGTGAACAATGGAGACTGAAAAGGTACAGTTAGAGGTTGGGAGAGAGGTGGGAAAGGAAGCAACGGGCAGAGAGTCTCAGAAAGAAACAAGTGGCAGGACAGCGCCTTCTAAGTTACCAATGCAATGCTTTTGGAAATGTCACTGTAGGACTCCAGTGCTGGTTTTTTTGAGGCTAGGTTGAAGATCAGTAGAAGCAGAAATGTGATGGTGGTAAATTGGAGTAGAGCCTGTGAAGTACTAAGAACAGGACACAATCATAATCTGTCCTGCTACAGCTACAAAGGCGGAGAGAGCAGTTAGTTGTGAAGTAATATCAAGGGGTTAAGTCCTTCCTGCATTCCTTCTTTGCTCTCTTTTTCTTTAATGGGAAAACCATGAGCATGCATGAACAGAGAAGGGATGTGGTAAGGGAAGGGAAAAGTATAAAGAAAAAGGAAATAGAATGATACTAAGTGGACAATTTTGTTCCTTTGTTTACTAAAATTTTTTTACCCACCATTCTTAAGGTGGTAGGGCAAACTGCTAAGGACCTCTAGAAGTAAATTTTTCATTTTGTTGGTCATTTCCAGGTGGTTCATAGAGAATGGTCCATCTTACTCTAACAGTTTTTCAACATTCTTTTCAAACTTGCTTTTCAGGAATAAGAGAATGATGAAAAGATTGATTAAAATGAGGAGGCAGAAACAGCCTGGTTTGAACACGCCGGCATTGTTCCTTTTGGATAGGCCATATCTCAATGAAGAAGAAAAAGTGGAGAGTCCACCGCTGAACTGATATATATCCCAGTGATGTCTATGTTCTGTCTTGGTCATCCTCAGTGTTGCCTGATAACTAAAGATGTGAATGTCTGGATTTTGTACTTGAGGTTTGCCAAAAAGTGACTGCCACAGCTGCTGCAACTCTTTAGCTATATAGAACAAAACTTGGTTTTGTATTAATAGGTTTTTTAATTCTCTTAGCAGTTTTAGGCTTTCAGAAAAATTCAGAAAGTACAGAGTTCCCAAATATTGTCCCGCAGCCCCCAAACTTCCCATGGCTTGATGGCCACTTGTTTTTAGCAGTTAACAGACCATTGTCTGGATGTACCATGACTTGTTTGTTTATCCAGTACCATATTGAAGGCCATCTTGGTTGCTTCCAAGTTTTAGTCATGAACAAAGCTTTATCTAGGTAAACATCTAAAAATAAACATATAAACAAATGTTTATTTGTGTGCAGGGCTTTGTGTGGATGTAATAACATTTAAAAATCATTGAGGTAAATAGCAAGGAGCTTGATTTCTGGATCTTGCCATAAGAGTGTGTTTAGTTTTGTAAGAAACTGCCAAACTCTCTTCCAAAGTGGCTGTGCCATTTGCATTCTCACTAGGAATGAATGAAAGTTATTGTTGCACATCCTCACCAGCATTAGGTGTTGTCAATGCTTTGGATTTGGGTCATTCTAATAGGTGTGTGCAGCAGTGTCTCATTGCTTGAATGAACAATTCCCTGATGACATAGCATGTGGAGCATCTTTTCATGCTTTTTTGCTATTGTGTATCTTCAGTAAGGTGTCTGTTAGGTTCTTGGCCCATTTTTTTAACTTGTCATTTTCTCATTGAATTTTAAGATTTCTTTTTAATATTTTGGGTAACAGTCTTTTATCAGATTGATCAATTGCAAATATTTTTCTAATCTATGCCTTATCTTCTCATTCTCTTGATTAGTTGGTATATTTAGATCATTGATGTTTAAAGTGATTGAAATAGATGGATTATGATCCATATTTGTTTTCACTGCCTTCCTCTTTTATTTCATTTTTTTTGTCTCTTCCCATCTCTGGTTTTAATCGAGCATTTTATTATTCCATTTTTTCTCTCTTCAGCCTATCAATAATACTGCTTTACTTTTTTAACTGCTTGCCTGTGAGTTTGCATCATAGTTACAAATAACCTTGTTCTCTTTCTAATGACCAGACACCAAGTGAGGTGTATTGAGAATGCCTTGGAATATAGCATTCGCAATTCCTATTTAGTCCCTTAAAACACTGCTGTCATTTATTTCCCTTATCCATGAGCTATACTCATTTTTTATTTTTTTAACATCAAGTAAATTGTAGTTTAATAAAGTAAAAATAAAGCACAGTGAAAATGAAGAGAATATTGAATTTCTAATGAATGTTTTGAGACAACAAAGATATATGCATATATTATCTTTTTTCTAAAAGTACAAGATGCACAGAAAATAGTGGCATCAGAGTAATTATGCTTTTAAAAGTTATGACATATATAATCTATTAACTTTTGCTATGAAAGATATTAGCATTTACACATATTTACTTATATACCCTTACCGACCCCTCATTTTACTGTTTATATTGTTTTT